CGGTGGTTTCACCCGGTGTGAACTCGCTGGGGCGGTGGCTCTCCCCCCATTCCTCGGCTCGACTCGGCTCCCTGCCCCCAAACCGGCGAACGAGAACCGCGTTCGCCTTGCAGGACCTGCACCGGAAGGACGAGACACCGGAAAGACGAGAGACGGAGACGGAGGGAGGTCGAAAATGGGTTCCCCAAACTTCGAGCAGACCTTTTCGCCCGTTTTCGCCCCACTCCACTTGGATGCATCAGGGCTGAACCCATCCTTTTCCCAACCTTAAAGAACCTCATCCCTGGGCATCTGGAGTCGCTCCATGTTCCCCGACTAAACGCGGGCCCCTCATCCAACCTCCAGGCCGAACCATCGAACGATGAGTTCGAAAGCTGCAAGCGCTGCAAGCGGTTCAAGTCTGGAGCTTCCAGAAAACTTGATTTACTTCCTGGAATGGTTCAATGAAAAGACCCAGAAGACACAAGCTCCAAATATAACATGGCGACACCCGCACATCAGTAACAAGAACATCCAAGAAAAGAATGTGAATTCATAGATTATAGATGGTATGCCCGCCTCGCTGTGAACTTATTAAACTCACCACTCACAGCACTCCCAGCCCCAGCCCGCTGATCCCCAAATCCAAGACCTCTTCCAAGCGCCCATCTGCCGCGGCGAGCAGCAAGGTGTGAGCTGCTGCCTTCCGCAGGTTCTCCAGATCCTGCGGAGGGAGCGCAGCGGGAGCCCGAGGGTCCAAAGATCAGCGAGGGAAACCCCTTCTTCTGGCAAGAGATCTTGATTTTATTGAGACACATGCAAATTCAGACCTTGACATCGCGTGACATAGAAACAGCAGTTGGGTGCTACCAACCATGGTTTCGGGAAATATAGACTTATATTTTGTGATATAGTAATGGATGATGTCTGCATACAGCACACATAGTTTATCACAGCAAAAGTTATGCAGGATTTCGACTTCCAGAAGTATCAAAGGCATGCTCGAAAGGCTCCGATGGTCCAGGAGAATCCAAGTGGGAACTTGCGGAATACGAGCCCAAATGATGTAAAAGCCGGTTCGGAACTAGCATGGGTCAGCAGATCTTTCTCACTCGCGAGCTCAACGGGGTCCTCCCCCTTGGCCTCTGCAAAGGCCTTATCCAAAGAGCCATCCTGGTCCAAGGGGCTGTCGCCAGCCATGTCGGCTAGCTGATACACCAAAAAAACTTTCACTGTCCACTACCGGACTACCGGCTTCCAACTGGTACAACGAAAGGAGGGTACACCACGGGGATCCCAGCAAGTCTTGCAAAGTAATTCCAGCGCATCAGTTTGCACCATCTAAATGTCTGGATTCCTTCCAAAACTATAACTATATTCATTTTGATGTTTTTGAACTTGTGGCCACGTCAGCTGGTTCGACTTCTCTTCGAAACGATGCCGTCAGCTCTGTGTTCACATGTCGTGCACGCCAATGGCCATCCCAAGCACCCACAAGTGCTAAGGCTGCTAAGGCTGCTGAGGGTGCCAAGGCACCAGATGCTGTGGTTCCTGACTGTGCTCCAATTGTTTCCTCACGCAGCTTCTACAGTAACTGATGCTTTGGGCTGCCTCGGGTCCCTTCGATGAGCCTTTGGCCTTTGCACCAAACCAACACTCCAAACCATCAAACTAACCAGGGGTGATCGAAGAAACCGGTGTTCAAACGCTTAAAAACCGCGACAACCATCCATGGCAAATCGCAAATCGAATCGCTCGAATGGCTCGGAGCTGACGTCCGACCTCGGCCGCCTTGAGCAAGGCCAAAGCCGCTTCCTGCACCGTGGCTGCCGCTTTTTCCAGCACTGGGCATGCCTATATTATACATACCTGGGAATCGATTGTAGTAAATCAATGCCATCGGCATTTGGGGGGGCCTTAAACTTAGGACCAAATCATACCAAATGATGCCAAATGGGCAAATGGTAGCGGTTTTCAACGGTTGATGTGGAGAAAAAAATGCCAACGATGGAACAAGTGTCAGTTTCCTATGGCACTTCTTTGTGCGTACGAATGATGTGCATTGGTCGATCCTACGGACTGGTCGACACCATTATACATATGTATAATATATATGCAAAGACCCACCAGGGGTGGTTAATGGAGACCCCTTGCCCTCTAAAGGGCTATTAATAGACAGTCAGGGGCCCTGGCATAAATCATATGATGTAAATATAGATATTGATATTAAAATAGATATAGTAATATATATATATACTTACATACAAGTCAAAGAAAATTGTTCAAGGAGAGTTTCAATCGGGGAGCCCTGTCTGCAGCCGCACACCATGCACCGGCAGTTGTGTGATGGATCATGGCTTTCACATGGCCATCATTTTTGGAGCAAGTCACCCGATCAAGGCCTTTCTAAAACTTCTGTGGCCCTCCCGATCAAGATCGACGGGACATGGAAGTGGATATATGACAACCCCCTGTTTGTAGAGGAAAATAATGGAAAATATATCTTTCCACGAGCTTATTTTCCGCTTCCATGATTGTTGGAGGGGAGGGTAGTTCTCCAGTCGCTCCTTATATATTATGACACGCACTGGCCCCGGCATCTGCTCCCCTGCCATTTCCTGCTTCAAGACTTCAACATCTCGGTCCTCGCATCTCGCAGTGACGCAGCGACGCCAGCTCCAGGGCACGCGATTCGGGGTGGAGTCGGGACCGAACAAGCCAGTGGAATATGATAGAATATGATAGAATATGGGAACCCGCTGAGGAAAAGCAAATCAACCAAAATTGTCCGAAGCTGCTTGATCCGAAGAAGTCAAAAAAAGGCAACTTTTGCACCCTGCATCAGCAATCTGCCTCCTGTTTGGACACCCCCAGCTCTCCTGAGATTGACCCTTGGCTTTGGCCATGGCGGCTTCCAGGGTTCCAGGCTCCTGCGTCTCGCAGCGTCCGGGAAACCGTGAAACGTCGATGCCCCGTCGATGCCCGTCGATGAAACCCCGTGAAACAGCGGTGTCTTAGGTGTCGCCCGGGACGCGCCTGCCTGAGATCCACCAAGTAAGCCAATCTCCAACCCCGGGTGGCCACATGGTGATTAGTTAAGACCCAGGCCTTCAATCTTCTGAGGTTGGACGTACTTTTTCGAAGCAAGCAGGTGCATGTCTGAATCCAACAGATCCAACCGGTGTTTCACCAGAAAGGATGCCTTCTTCGTTTCAACCAGGTGCCTTTCTCGGATTTTCACCTCTTCCCGAACTTGCGTCTTCCTGCACCGCTCAGTCCTGCACAGCTCGGCTGAGAGCACGTGCTGCCTCTTGGCGGATGGCCTCCACATGGGAGCCCTGGCCGCTTGGCGAAAATCCGGTCGTCGCGGACCACCAGAGCCGGGCAGCAAGAGCCGACGGCTCCGCGAATGGCCTGGAATGGCCTGAGGGAGAAAATACATTGCAATAGAATAGATGGCTGTTATACTGTTGGTGAATCTAACTCCCCTTCAAGTACCAGAATGGTCTTACGTCTTACATCTTCAGGTGGTTTTTTACCTCTTTTGGAATAAATTGCGTAACCGTCTCTACCTTACACAAGTTTCAAGGATGTTTTTTGAACAACACCCACCCTGCAATCCCAAACGCGCTCTCTGGCTTCTTCCCACGCTGTCCATGTGTAATTGCCGATCTACCGATGAAGTCCCAAACAACCGTTGGTCTGGTGCACCGTGGCGAACACGAACCTTGTCGCCCAGATCGGAACAGGTCACGTGGACGCAGGTGTGGAAACAGAACCGAACGACGCGCAAGGAAACCCGTCCTGCATCTTCAGAACCTCCTCCAGGGTCCCATTCTCTGCCGCTTGCAGTAGCGCGGCCGCCGCGTCTCGGCGAAGCTTCTCGGAGTCCTGGGTCCCGGAGGGCTCGGAGAGCCTCAAGGGGGGAGCTGAAGAAAACGAACCAAAACGCTGACTGGCGCGACTCGTAGGAAATGAGAGAATGAACCCCCAATAGAGATTCTTTTGGATCCATTCCCTCATTCCCTATAGAGCACAAGTCAGAACGGCGTCTTCAACGGACCTTTGACGGTTTGGGGTCGACCGTTGCCGTTGAAATGACAACACACGGACTCATCCTGCGGCTAGGACAGTGCGGTTTATGAGCACCCAACCGCCACCTACTTCAGGCCCCTTCAAATTGCTGCAAGGAGTTCCGCACTTATTGTAGATCAACTAGAATCAGGCGCAGGCGTGTTTTCTTCGCTGCTCTCGGAACTCCATTCGGCCCCATGCATCCACGGGGCCTCCATCTTCCGGCTGACCAGGCGTTTCGGGCGTGGAGTCAGCGGAGTCTTCGTGGGAAAGCCATGACCCTTCAAAACCAACTCTCGTCTTGGGAAATGGGATGAGGTAGGGGATGGAGCCGCCCAGCTGGGACACCGACATCCGTCGTCCCGACACCGTGTCCTCCTGAGACTTCTTGATGAGCACCTCTTCCAGTGTGCCATCATTGGCTGCTTGCAGCAGAATCTTGCCGGCCCTCACTCTCAGCTGCTCCTTGTCCTGGCCCCCAGTTAAAACAGCCCGGGCCAACTTCTAGGCCCAGAGATTGACGTGAGTTCATCAACAAAGTTCAAAGCTATGCTTCCAGAAGCCACCAAAAGGGCACCACATGTTGGTTCGCTGAAACCGAGTTCAAACCCTCCAACATCCTTCAACCTCCATTTTCTGCAAAGCTGGGGGATGAACCAGATTTCGTCCCACCTCCCCAAAGGCCACGCCCGACCTATCCTCAAACACTCAAACCCTGCCTGCTGCACCTTCGCCGAACCTTTGAGGACTGCTTCCAAGGTGCCATCCTCGGCAGCCTTGGTTGATCGCTTTCTCGTTGACGCTTCGGCTTCGTTCATCACAGTGGTCTGTTGGGTCACTGAGGCCCCGTGTGCAAACAGCTATGCAAGCGGCCTAAGCTTGGTGGGTCTCTGGTCTTGTGTGTTCACATCAGGGCCCCCTGATCTATGGAAGGCGGCCCTGAAAGGCTATACTATACTTAGACATATATAGGTCCTTCGGGTCAGGTTGTGCCCAAAACATGCCCGGTGTGCCTTCAGGAGAATCGCTGCAGCCTCCTCCCGCAATGACTCCGCATCCTGCATCTGGCCAAGGCAAGGACCCAGGACTTACATGACAAGGCTGAGAGTGCTTGTACCAAGTTGTCGTTGTACAGTGCTATTCACATGTTCTCCTCAAAAATCCCAGGCCAGAGACCCCAGTTCCCCCTCGTACCGCCTCCCACCCTTGGTGCCGCCACGCAGGCACCCACACCACCTCGCCCCCCTTCTTCGGCCCATGTTCGGCCTGGCCGGTCTTCCTGCTCAGCACGGCCTGTAGGGTTCCATCCTCTGCAGCCCTGAGCAGTGTGCTGGCCGCCTCTTGCCGCAAGGAGTCCAAGTCCTCTTGCCGACGGAGGGAACTGGCAGAAGGACGGGGGACGAAGGCATGACTCATCCGACCGAAGGTCGGAGGGCGGTTCAGAGAGTTTTGAAGCAAAGTGTCTTGATGCTCTGGCGTCTTAGTTGGGTGAGCAATGGTGGAATCATGTTCTTTTGAGCAAGTCCGTCGACCGTGGACGCCGTGGACGCCGTGGACGTCGGGCCTTGGGCCCGGTCTTCTTCTTCAACACCGCCTCGAGGGATCCATCCTGCGCCGCTTGCAGCAACGTGGCGGCAGCCTCCTGTCGCAAGGCCTCCACGTCCTGGATTTCGAACAGGGACAACGCGGTTTTCGGGGGCAGGGCGGTAGACATCTGGAGATGGCATCCTACTTTTGGGATGTGTCGCGGACGTCCCAGAAGGACACATCAAGGATATCAAGACATTCAAGACATAAATCCAGGGTTCTTCCCATACCAATTGCATCCAATTGCTGTGACCAGCGTCCGTTAAGAAGTCCTGCACCACCTCAACTTCAAAACGACATGTGTATATAATATATATATATATACAGCACGTCTTGCTCTCTTTTCGGTGCTTTAGAAGTTCCAAGTGGCACCGGATGGAAGACCCCCCCAGACCCACGATTTCTCGGTGCGGCCAGGACGGGGGCCCTGTGGAACCGGAACGAGAGCTCACGTCGGTGGGCTCACCTCTTCGCCACGCCGACTGAGAACCTGCTGTAGGGTGCCATCTTCTGCAGCCTTCAGCAAGGTAGCAGCGGCCTGCTGTCGAAGCCCCTCCACGTCCTGCAGGCTCGCAGGGAGTACAAAGGGAGGTGGATGGAGTGTAAAGGACGTACAGCTGGCAGCAGTCAACGCTTGGACACCTCATGCTTCTAGGGCATAGGACGGGGTCCCGTTCACTAGGGACAAGCACCAAAGGTGAAAGGGTAAAACGGGTCACGCGATACCCCCCTTCGAGCCATGTCACTAGATCTAACAGAATCACACAGAGTCTAACAAATGTATGCACAGAATTGGACACTTGCGTTACCTTAGAATCTCGTACCTTACAAACAGAAAGTGCATGCAGCATATGCGAGTTACAACTTACAACCAAACCCTAAAAAGCACAGGTTGACATTCAGAATGGTAGTCCCTCTAATAATAGACTCTAATAGTCTAAGTCCGTGTTCATGATGTTACTGTTTGGTCGAGCACGGTCAAGCACGGTCCTTCATGGTCCCAAGGCGTCTTAACTCATGCAAACGTGTCGATTGTGAACTTCCTCCACTCCCTGAAACAATCATGGAAGTGAAACAGTTACTTTCTGGAGGGTCTGCCAGGTCTGCTTAGCTTCCATGGTCCGAAGAAACTGATCAAAGCGGAGTTTCAATGCACCATCCTGCTGGTCAACATGCCCATCCCGCCGCCAAAGCTCCGGTCCACTCTTCTTTCAGCCAGAAGGTGTCGGGTGGTGAAAAGCCAACCGTGGGGCCTGGTGCCACACGTGTCGGTGGGGAAGTCCACCCGCGGAGCGACTGGGCAGGTCTTTTCACCGATCTAGCATCGATGCAAAGGACCCACCGGACAAAACGACTGCGTACGGCATACGGCAGAAGAAGGTGCCTTCGCCGGTCACACCGTTAATTGCCCTCCCAGGTCTTGCAAGAAGCCCTCAGCATGGCCAGGATCCTGCGATGCGAGCCGACCTGATCGGCGACCTCTGCGACCGTCTGGGCACTGCGACCCTGGGAGGTCCTGGTTCGGGGATCGGCGCCGGCGGCTAACAGGAGCCGCAGCACGTCCACATCGCCCTGCTGAGCTGCGACGTGGATGGGGGAGACCTTTTCATTCGGGAAGCGGTCGCTGGTGCCACTCTGATTCACATCATCGCTCTTGAAGCCCCACTCATCCAAGAAGTCGATCATTTTCATGTGAGCCACCATGTTCTGAGCAGTTCTCCTGGGACGCCTGATCCCATTGGAAAGGATAAAGGGCTCTGGTGGACGGTGGGCCACCGGCGAGCATGTGGGTGTGGGATCACTACCGAACAGCTCGTCATCTGGAGAAAAGATCACCATGCCATCGCATTCTGCCAGCGGCGGTCGCGTCGCGTGAATGCTCGAAAGGGCAATGGGCATGTTAGCACACGCCCAAAAAAAGCAGTGCTTGGTTTGTTTGGGCCAGACTGAGGCTCATCAATGTTCACCTGGCCTTCCTGGCATGACTCATGACCAACTAACCCCTTCTACATCTAGCCTTGGAAGACACCAAATGTCGTGGGGCGCTCTCAAAGCAGTTGAAGTCTCCCGCGCGCCGGCGCAAATGCATTGGACCCACCGCCACTGCCGCCACCAGGCGCGCGGTTCGGAAGTCCTGTCCGCCCTTCTTGCTGAGCACCGCTTCCAAGGTGCCATCCTTCGCAGCCTTCAGCAGTGTCGCCGCAGCCTCCTGACGCAAGGCGTCCGTGTCCTGTGCCCGCAAGTCAGCGCCGCTTCGGCGACGGGGAATGGCCAAAGGAATGGTCACAATCCGTGGACATCGGATCTTAAGACTTATCGATGCATCCTGGTGCATCCTGGCCTGGCCCTTCTTCTGCAGCACTGCCTCGAGGCTCCCATCCTCGGCCGCCTTCAGCAAGGTGGCCGCCGCTTCCTGCAGAACACAGCCCAGACGGACACCCAAACGACGGGAAGTCTGGTGTTGATCTTGTTCGATGCTGGTCGTTTTGGTAGATCCTTTCTCCCCAGCCACCGGGATTGTGGCGAGAGGACATTGCCGGTCCATCCTTGCGGATCGCATTCAGCTCGTCCTCATTCATGCCCTGGCCAGATCGGGCTTGCGCAGGCGATCGCGCTCGCCCTGTGTTCGGCCGTTCTGGCCCGGTGAGCCGGTGTTGGAAAGTGCCAATTCATGCACCAGAATCAGTGGGATAGGATTAGAGCAATTGCATATATTGTATAGTCATGTACAGTCCCTCCGTCCCTCCTCAAGACATTTTGCCTCTCCCCCCTGGCACCTTCCCTCGCAGGGCGCTATCCAGGCTTCCATCCTCTGCAGCTGCCAGCAACGTCCTCGCGGCCTTCTCTCCTGGACGAGCCCGTCGGAAGATGTGGACGCTGAAGAACCCCGAGATCACTGGGCTTGGATCTTGGATTGCTTGGCGAACCAATTTTTAACACACTTGTAGGCAAACGACCGGGTTGCATTGTGTAGCATTATTTGCCAACACATTGGGATTTGCCCAAGAATTTGCACGTTGCCAAAGGAGCGGGAGTGTTTCGGAAAGGGAAAAGGATAGGACCGGTCTTCTGCTCACCAGACAAAGCCATTTTCCCAGGCCAGCAGTGGATGAGAGAGTGGATCTGGGCTCAGCTCAGGTGCGAATCTGGTCCAGGCTCTGCTCGGGTGCCAAGTTCAAGGCCTTCTCCAAAGAGCCATCCTGCAAGTGGCAGCAAGTGATGGGAAAGGTGAATAGGAGTCACGTCCTTGTGGGCTCGGCTCTGTGGCCGTTTCACCATGAACAAAAGCCTGCTGCCTGGTGGGCCAGGAGGTTCCCTGCTCGGTGGGGTGCCTGATTTCAAGACATCTCCCGTGCATCCAGTGGAGCGAGTTCCTCTTGGCAGGTGGGCGCCCCCCCGATCCCCACAGCTCACCAAGTCAGCCGGAGCGATACGAGCGAGCACGATCTCCATGTGATCTCCGTGTGAATGACTCGGAGGTTCATCTGTTGCTGAAATGGGAAAGCCAAGTGGTCCAAGCTTCAAAGCCTTGAAGGGTCTTGCGGCTTGATAAATGGTTTCGCATGCTCCAATTTGCTCATGCGTTCGAGTCATTGCGTGTCATTCTCCAGTGCTTCCCAACTCCCCGCCCACTTCCTGTCGCCGCGCCTCGGCCGCCTTCATCAGCGCGTTGTGCGCCTTCAGTCGGATGTTGTCGAGCACCTCCTGAGCGGAGGTCGTGGAGCAGAGACGACTGACCATCATCTCACTGACAGGGAAGCAGGCTTCAGAAAAACCATGAAAAAAACCGATTCTTCATGCCATCCTACCGTAACTCCAGGGCAATCCCACAGGTCACCGGTCATCAATCACCGCATGTCACCACCCTCTCAGCCGGGGTGCCACTTCGGTTTGCAGCTCACCATCCTCTTCCTCCAAGTTCCTAGGAGCCTCCGGCAAGTCCGGCGCCTGAAGGCCCCGTGACGCATGGCGCGTGACGCGTGTTTTTCAAGCGAGCTTGTAGGAACGAGGGATCAGCAATGGGCCACGGGATGACCCCAAGGGATGTGCAAGACCCTTTTGAAGGGAGCGCTCTTGCGCTAAGAAGGTGCCACCACCGAGGACTACCAGCCATCCCAAATCCAACACAAGAATGGTGCACACATTCTACCTTCTACATGACATGGCCTATGTCAACCCCCAAAAAGCCCTCCAAAGGGCCAAAAACTGGAACCCACCTGTGCCAGGTGGCAGGTTCTGGTGCCCAAGCACCAAACTTCACCCTCTGGTGCCAGCTCCCAAACGGGTGAAAAAAGAAAACAAAAAAAACTCTCACGGCGCGTTCCACGTGTTCCACGTGTGTTCCCCCCCCGAAAACCTCGCCCCCTTCGAGGGCCGATCCGCCGACCGGCGCGACGGGGGCCGAAGGCAGCGCCTGTTGCCAGCCGCCCAGCTTCGCCTCTGCGGATCGATCACCGCCACGGGAGTGGAAGTGGTGGCTTGATGCGCCAGGCGCATGCGTGGATCACATCCATGTGTGCCAAGTAGGGAGCTTCTCAAAACGTGCACCATGAATAAAGGAAGCGATGGGGATCAACGGCTGCGACGACTCCAGCACAACAAAGGACCCCATCGGATTCGATCCAGTCATGCTTCTCCCAGCCACGCTTCATCGAGTTGGTGGGGAGTTGGCTCAACATCTCAACGAACATACCTGCACAAAGGGGTTGCAGCCCTTCGTCCTCAAACACGCTTGCCCTCAGGACGCTCATAATGACCGAACCCACCCGCCCATGCCACCCATGCCACCTCGTCCATCTTTTTGAGCTCTGCCTGGCTGAGAAACAAATGAAATAGAGTGCATAAGATTGCATAAGAAGAGGCCTCTCACCTTCCTCCCCACATGTATTCTGAGTGGGTGTGGAAAGAAGCTGTCAACTTAGATCACTGCTTTGTGGATGAGGTCCGCGGTGCGGGCTTCGCTGGTGCCTCGGTGCTCCAAGGCAATGATTGAACAAAAATTGGAGAGAAAAAAAAGGAACCTAGGCAACCTAGTCAAAAAGGGTTGCATCGTGTCTTGAAAGCTGAAATACACTAAACAGCCTTGGCCGAACAACATGTTCTGCAAGCACCTCCGGCATATGCCCCCAAATCCGTTGCTCCAAACGGCGCCCCCGACACCGGGGCTGCACCCGACCGAACTTTTTGGGCCCCTGAACGGCGGTCGATGTAGGCCCAGGGGTCCTCCGGCTGGTCATGGATAAGATCTTGGAAAAGCCTCCGGTTTTGAGCGTCCGCAGAGTCGGACAGGAGAGGAGTCGGACAGGAGAGCCAAGCGTTCTGGCGAATGGGTTGCCTCAAGAGGGAACCGATGATCCGATGAGCCATCCTCAAGCAGAATGAGTGGATAGAACCTAGCTCCGTGTGCTCTTCACTTCGGGATGACTTGAATGGAGGTATGCGAGGGGGTGGTGGTTGGATCGGATGAAGAGATATCAAGGCCTATTCAATTCGTTTGTCATTGGACAGTTCTGGTGGCAAGGGCGATCACAATACGAATCGAGTGGGGAGTGTTCCAACCTATCCATGATTGGAATGGCAGGCCCACTAGAAGCACTAGTGGGGGCATGTGCTCCAAAGACTGATGAGGGAGAGATACACTTCCTTCCCTCCACTGCTCTTGAAGAATGAAACCAAAGCAATCACAATTTACGATTCTCCAAATGCCTGGCAACCGCTGAGTCTTGCATGAACCTTGTGCAAGGTCACTTCGGATGTTATAATCATTCAACCGGGTTGGTATCTTTCTGCATGCACACTGACCCCCCCGCTGTCCGCAGCGCAGCTTTTTGTTCTTTCTGGGACACGCCCACTCCAATCACCAAACATTCAGCACTTCCGGAATGCGTTTCGCAGCGCCTGCTGTTGACAGCTGAAGCAAACCCGGGCATGTGCGTTGCATTCGTCAATGAGTACAGTGGTAAAGGTAACCAGGCCCGGCAAGAACAAGGCTATCATTATCACCTCTAGACACTATATACTCAATCTAAGAGTGCACCGGAGGCTGTAGGTGTTGAAACGAGGAAGAACAGCTGACCTTTTGGTGCCTTTCATGTAGCAAAAGGCATCCTGAAAACCCGACCCATATCCAAAAATGTCCTTCCAGCTAGGAGCTTCTCGGTCTTCATCCACTGCCACATGCCTCATGCCTCATGCAGCCTGGTTTTGAAAAGGTAACCTGAAAAGGTACCGATTGCTACTCGAATCTAAAAGATTCTATAAGGCAGAGGTGACGCACATCTGGATGAGCAAGACCCACTTCTACCACATCGCGAATCAAAACCGATCTCGTCACAATGAGATCAATGAGTGTACCTTGTTCCAGACGAGAAGACGTCTGTCGGGAGATGGTCTTTTCCAATATAGTATGGGTGGTGTCAGCACGCATTGAATTTCCCAATACAGCAGGCCCAAATCTCCAAATCTGGTGAGGAAGTCCGCCAGCTCGAAGTATCCAAAAACACGTTCCGTTATAGACCGCCCGTTATAGACCGCCCCACGCACAACTCCACGTTCCGTTCAGACGCCCCACGCACTCCAAACGCAGGCGCCTCTTGTGCTGTCGCGTCCGGCACCCCGCCATGCTCCGCCGCTCCCCAGCACAGCACCTCGCCAGCGTTCATCACCGCAGCAAAGGCGCCCGGGGAGCTGAAGACCCTGCCGTGCTGGAAGTGCTACAAGTGCATTACTGGTGAGGTCAACCGTAAATAGGACCCTACAGGGGTACCTATAGGATGGTGTCTATAGGGTTCTTCAACCTCTGCTGGTAGTAGCACATAGGTACATAGCAGCTTCGTGCTACTAGTAGTAGTAACGCCGCATGCCCTTGTTACTAGTAGCGATGCCCTTGTTACTGCCGTGCTGCATCGCTCCAAACGAAAACCCCTCGACCAGAACGATGCCGTGGCGTCACATGGGTCGTCGGGCGGCAGCACAGCAGCGGTTGCAGTGGTGGTCGGAGCCGTTGTTGCGCATCAGTAGCGGCACGTCATCCTAGTAGTGGCCATAGGTAGTACAGCAGCAGCAGCAGCAGCAGCAGCAGCAGGAGGAGGTCATTTGCAACATCGCCGAACACCCCCCGACTCACATCACTTCACTCAGGACACCTCATTGACCCTCAGTGTCACACGGATTCACCGGGGTCGTTTCGACCTGCCGAACCCTGCGGTGCCTGACCGATTTTCGGTGCCTGACCGGTCACTGCCGTCGCCAAACCCAGCGGCCCAGACGGACCGTGTCTCGACGGGAAGGTCCGTTGAGCCCAAGAGAAAAGTGGCAGGGCTTGGCTCCAAGGCTCTGAGAGAAGTAGAACCCCTAGAGTTTCCAGCTCTGTGTGGAAAAGCTGCATCCAAAGCCTGGCTCCAGAGTCTGGCTTCCAGCGCGCTCAAGACAGAACGCTCGCCCATCCGCCCAAACCGGTTCCCGGTTCCCCCGACAGCTTGCCACTCCGTCCTCGTCACCCCTTCCAGCTCTTGGGCCCCAGTGTTGCCCCAGGAAATGAGACGCCCATCCGCCCGCACCACGGCAAAGGCATCGCGCC